AGCAACTCAGTGAGACCCTGTCTCTAAATAAAATACAAAACAGGGATGGAGATGTGCCCCTGAGTTCAATCCCTGGTACCAAAAACCAAACAGACAGACAAACAAATGTATAAGATGTGCCTAATAAGCAGTTTTGGCATCTTTTAGAGTTTAATTATCCTACTCTTTTCCCTCTTCTCTTTGGCTCACACATTTCAACTTCCTATCAAACACTGTTTCATTCTCACACCCCCCTCTCCTTACACGCACATACACACACACTTCTTTTCTCATGCTATCATAATATCTATGATAAAGCAATGTTAATTTTTGGAAATGAAAATAATTTATTTAAAATGTATGATATTTTATATGTTGTGTAAGTTTTCAAGATTCTTTGACATATTAAGATTTTTAGTATATTAAATGCCCTATCAGAAAAAAAATAGCTGAGTTTTTGGGAATTCTCATACTCCTAATATGAAGTGGAAAATTAAAAATTTTGAGGGATTTAGGAAGTATATAGAAAGGCAAATGTGACTATTCCTGACTCTACTTTTGACCTTGTCTCTATGTCCTCAAAATTATAACATCACATTTTAAATGGACACTCAGAATGGATTTCCCATTTTGTGAAAATAGTTTTTTCTGGGCATTGCTTTTCTTGCTGTAGTCACAATACTATTTTCTCTCTTTTCTTGTGCTTTCCATGTTACTTACCTTGACAAACCAGTTCATATGCCAGAAGGTATTTGGGGAGTAATTTGATGATGTATATATTTTAGGGCAGTCATATGTTGAGTAAGCACAAATCTGTAGAATCAAGCAGCTGTAGATTTTGGTCCTAGTCTGGCCAACTGCTAGTTGTTAACCTGGAAGTTTCTCTAATGTCTCCAAGTCTGTGTTCATTCATTTATAAAAACCAGTGGAAAATATCCTCATGGTCCTTGTATATACTGCATAAAATAACTCTTGCAAAAATTATTTGCATTGTGCCTGCCTGACACAATAAGCACTATAATTGTATATTGTATTATATCTTTTAACACCTTAAATGAAATTAAATATTAAAATAAAGAGGAAGCTTTTATCATATCTAAGTAAAACTTTCTTTTCTAAGATCCTGCAAGAGCCATGTTCCTTTCTGTTCCCTTTTTTGTGGAGCTAATACTTAACTAAAATTGTAGTAAAATCATACAAGAACATAGGACAGGAATACAAAGCAGTGATCCTATGATAATTTCAKTACCAACCAACAAATTGATAACATGCAGGAGAGGAAAGCAAGAGAATTAGGCCATGGGTCAGCTGACTTTTAGAAATATTTTAACCTAATGGGCATTTTTTTCTTCCTTTCTATGTTCTATAGTTAAAGTTCTAAAATTTAAAATTTTAATGCTGCTTCTGTTTTGGTACCGGGGATTGAACCCAGGAAACTTAACCATTGAGCCACATCCCCAGCCCTTTTATTTTTTTTTATTTTGACTTAGAGTCTCACTAAGTTGCTGAAGCTGGCCTCAAACTTTCGATCCTTCTGCCTCAACATATCCTGAGTCACTGAGATTATAGGCGTGTACTACTACACCCAGTTGAAAACTCATTTATTCTTAAACTCAGTTTTACCTTTGAGCAAACTTCTCAAAAGAATGACTGCCAAGATACTTTTAGCTTATTTTCTCAAATGCATTTCTCATTATCTTCTTTAAAACTCCTCTCCAAAAAACATCGTAGGGACGACTGTAATTAGGCTAATTGTGTGCGCCCATATGTGCAGCTTATGGAAGAGCAGAGAGCAGTCATAGCAAGAACATGGTGCAATCTGCCTCCAACAGGAGCTGCTCTAGAGCTCTCAGGGCTGGCCACACAAGCAGGCTTGGGCTAACAGCTGTGATGAACAGAATGGCAGAATGTCAGCCCCATAGTTCATTTGGTGTGAAAATAAATTGACAGTTATTTATAGGGAATAATTAATGTAACATTGTAGAAAAGTAAATACATTTTACACCCTTTGAGAAACTGTTAAAATGAAAAAAAGGTTGGAAGATGAAGGATCTTCTTACTGACAGCAAAGGCTTGGTGAGAAACAGATGTCAGTGACTGTGTGAAACTGTGTTGCAGAGAGTATAGAGAGTTCATCAACTCTGACAATAGAGTGGAAGAGTTAAAAATTATACAAGGAAACCAACCCATCCTCAGGGTAACTGTAAACTTGTAGAATATCTCTGTGAAGATGATATCACATAGTTCGGTTAATAATGTGAAAATTTGTGATGATCCCATGTAATTCTGTTTTGCCAATTTCCTATGTTAAAAATAAAAAAAGTTTGAAAAAAGTAGGGAGGGTAATAAGAAAGGAAGGAATAAAGGAAGTTGTAGGTGGGTGTGGTGGTGCGCTGTAATCCCAACATCTTGGGAGACTTAGGCAGGTGGATCACAAGCTCAAAGCCAGYCTCAGCTGGTAGTAGTTCAGGGTAAAGTTCCACTGGGTTCAATCTTTTGTACTGGGAAAAAAAATAATTAAATAAAGGAAAAAAGGCAAATATGTATATAAATTCCAAGTAAGCATGAGGCTGATTTTTCTATATCGGTACTATAATTTATTCATTATTAATCTCACATGCTCTAATGTCTGGTTAGACATATCAGATTATTTTGGAATGGTGTGATACAAAAGGAGTGAACTCAAACACATGGTTGTTTTAAACCATTATCACATGAGTGCATCCATATGTGTACCTTATGGCGCCTAGTTGCTTTTGTATCATATGTTTGATCATCAGGATTGTATCTTTGAACAACTCATGACTTGATTAAACACCAATTCATTTCTAAATGCTTATCATTAATAAGTATTATTAAGCTAGTGGGAAGTTAAACTAAGATAATTTTATTTCTGATATAGACACACATTAGTACTGCTTCAAATTGCATCTGAAATATCCTGCTCACATCATCTCTACAACTTTCTGTTCTGCTGAAGCGTGTTGACACATGCCTATAAGACCAGTGTTCTGGAGAGCTGAGAGCTGGAGGATTGCAAATTTGAGGCCTGTTTCAGTCCCATATTTTTCAACCTTTAGCGAGACCTTGTCTCAAAATAAATAAAATAAAAGGGCTAGGGATGTAATCCAGTGGTAAAGCACCCCTGAGTATAATCCCCAGTATTGAACAAACAAACAAAACAACTTTCTTATCTGAACACCTTTACTTACACTGGAAAATATTTTTTTTCTTTGAGACAGTGGAATAAATTAGGGGAGATTTCCTTTTGTATACATGTGAATTTTACTTTTCATCTTAACGTGGACTACGTGGAAACCTGCCTGATTTTCTAGAATAATTGTGTGAGTTCTTTAAGTAGTCATATCATGATTTGAATTCATTCAACCATCAACTCTCTTTGGCATCTCTGAATCTGTGTCATTCAAAAAAAGCTAAGGAGTTATTAGCCATGACATGGCTTTCTTTACAATGCTAACTAATCATGAGTCCAACATATATTATCACATCAGGGCTTTTATTTTCTTCAGTAGTGTGATTTTCAGCAAAGGTAGTAGGCATCTATGATATGAGCAAATTGGAGAATGCACGAAATTCAAATTATAAGAGAAATTCTTGTATGCCAATCATTTTATTTCAGGCATATATAGGTTTATTGAGCTTGGTGAAAAACCTGGTATAGTAAACATTCAAAAATGACTTTATCTACTGTGTGGGGCCATGATTCATAAAATATGGTTCTCTTTTAGTAGTATTGATGAGAAGGAAATTCTGTATACTGAAGAAGGAAAACGTGTTTGCTTTAGTTAATACAGATAAAATATGCTGCATACATGAATTCAAGGGTGATTCTATGACAAACTAACAAGATAAGGAAGAGGAAAGTGGAGTGAGTTCACATTTCATGGCACGAAAGTGTGATAGAGTCTAGGTTTGAGACTGAACTGCATGGGCCACATTCCCTGTTGATGACTCCTCTCAAGTTGATGATTGTAAAAACCTACATTTTACAAAGAATTAGCTACAGTGTGGAGTGAAGCAAAAGTCTCTTTGTGTACCTTTGAGAAATTTCTGGAGAGGATATCAGAAAAGACTTTATAATAGGCCATCAATGAGATCCAAAGGAGATGGAACTGGATTATAAAGAATTGAAATTGTACTAAGCGTATGAGCTTGGGAATTTACTGGGCACTATAGACTTCCTGTCTAGATGACTCTAATTTTGTGTTATAACCTAAGTGTTCTTTTGAGTACACATAATAGCTTAAATTATTAGTGTTTTAAATGCAAAAGAATGATATATTGGTTTCAGCTAGAGTTATCAGCGCACAAGAGTCTAGTTCATTGGAAAATTTATATGCACTTTAGGAACCAGTAGATTATTTCATCAGTGAAGTTCTAACTGTACACCCTTTTTAGCTAGTGACTTGGAATGAATTTTGATGATTTGCGTAGAGAAGCAATATAATAACTGTGTTCTGACAGGTTGGCTAGGAAGTACTATGTAGAAATTTCAGGACAAATGGGAAGTAGGGAGAGGGAGACCAGTTATTAGACTTACAGTGATCTGACTTGCTATCCCTTCTATAATGATCAAGGCATGACTTGGCAGACACTTGGACCAGGGAATGGCAAGGAAGTGGGAGAAGTGCTAGAACTTGGTAATTTTGAATATGTGTAATAACAATCATTAACATTTATATTGTATTTATCTGGCAATATGTGTGTTCTTTTATGGTATCATTTCATCACAACCATTTTAAGAAGTATAGGTTCTAATCCAATTATAAGTTGAATAATTTTCTTAAGCTCTCAGAGTTAACAATTATCAGAACTAAAATTTAAACCTTGAATCTRAACTCAAGCCACACAGAGGATATGGGCTTATCAGAGGCTAAAATAAAAAGTGATGTTAATATTTCTAGATAGAACAAAGATGCCCATGAGGAGACTGGATTAATCTTGGTCCTTGGCATAATATAATGCAAACTTTCTCTTTTTCCTTTWTGTCTTTTTTTTAGTGAGACTTCATGACAGCATATCGGAAGAGGGCTTCCATTACTTGGTGTTTGATTTGTAAGTACTTATTTTATGGTGAGCCTTTTTTTTTGGCTATTATTTTAATTGAACAAGGTTTTTATTATTATACAGTTCAAATTAATGGCTACTATAATATTTTTAAATATTTTTCAAATAACATTCAACTCTAATTCTTTTGAAAAGAGGTGACTACCCAGTGGAATTTTATTTAAATTAATCTTCATAAGTGAAAGTTTAAAGTCTTTCCCTTTGCATTTTCTATTGTGATATCACATGTAGTTTTCGGTTTTACCTTGGGGTACAAAACTAGCGGACAAGAGCAAAATTTTCAATTGATTTTTTAAAAAAGTGTTTGTGGGATTTATCAAATGTTAAAAAAGAAGACTCAAGGAAGAAACTAGGATTATCAAGGTTGATTTAAGTTAATCAGGATTTTAAAACTAAGGTTATAACAATAAGGATAAAGGGAAAATATTGATTCCTGGAAGAATAAGGTTAAACAGGTCACACATTTTAACTGACTGGTAGGAGTTTAATAAGAACACACTTTCTGAAAATCAGTTTGTGATTCTATTTATCAAGAGATTTAAAAATGTCCATATCATTTGGCATAGTAATTTCACTTTGAGACTAGTACATACAAAATATAACCTAAATCCAGGTCAAGTTTTATGCTGAAAGATGTTCATTGATTCTATCCTCTAAAGGAGGGAGGAACAGAAAAGAAATGAGACAAATTAATAACAAAAATAAGTGTATAATTATAGTACATTCGTTCAACGGACTGCTGTCTAACATTTTAATGTGATACTCGCGGGAGTTTTGGGTTACAGCTAAGAAAAATTATTTCAAATAATATGAGTCTATATCAGTGTTATTTCTCTCTGGATGTGTAAAAGATTTTTCCTTTGTCCTTGGTTTTCAGATGTTTGACTATTATGTGTCTTGGCATGCATTTCTTAAGAATTTATATTTGAGTTTAACCTCTTAAATATGGATTTATGACTGCAAAACTTTTTATACATTGCCTTCTTGAATACTTACTTTCTCAACACAACTTCTTTGTCCTTACTTTTAAAACTCTGATGAAATGAAAGTTGGATTTTTTTTTTTTTTATTGTCATAGTCTCATAGGTTTCTGAGGCTCTGTCCATGTGTCTCTCCTGGTATACTTTCCTCTGTTTGTTCAGATTGGGTGATTTATGTTGTTCTTTCTTCAAGTTTGACTGAATCGTTCTTCTGTTTTTTTCCATTCTGCTATTGAACGTATCTATTCAGATTTTTTATTTCAGTTATTATATTTTTTAGTTCTATAATAATTTCCTTTTGGTTCTTCTTTGCTAATACTTTTTTCCCCCATTTGTTTCAACTGTGTTCATGGTTGCTCATGAAAGCTATCTTTTTCTTCTTATTTTTCTTCTTTTTTTCAAAAATGCTAAGGATTTAACCCAGAGTCTCACACATACTAAGGAAGCACTCTTCATTGGGCAATAACCTTAGCCCTATGAAAGCATTTTTATTTGGCTGATTTAAAATCCTTGTCAGATAATTCCAGTAGTATTGCCATCTTGGTTTTGTAGTCTACTGATTGTCTTCTCATTCAAATTTAGATTTCCTGATTCTTTGAGTGATTTTGGATTATATACTGGACATTTGAGCATTATTTTATGGAATTCTATATTTAATTAAATCTTCTTTTTAGAAAGCCTTTTCTGATTCCACATCAGCAGGATTAAAGAGGTGTTACCTTATTACTGATTCATAATGGTGACACCCACATAGTTCCCTACTCTGCTTCCACTAACACCCCTGGGGTGTGTCTCCTTATAGCAGAGGAATTGTTTGTTTGCTTAACCACTAAGCAACATACCCAGCCCTTTAAATTTTTTTTTTTTTTTTAATTTTAAGACAGGGTTTCACTAAGTTACTCAGGGCCTTGCTAAGTTAGTGAGGCTGGATTTGAACTCTGATGATCCTCCTGTCTCAGTCTCCTGAGCCACTGTTTATATAGGCATGTACCACCATGCCCAGCCTTGTTAGTTCTTAATTGATTTAATCACTCAGACATCTTTTATTAGTAAATCAAGGTATAGTGCTGTAAACTAAGATATGTACTTCAGGCTGTGATGAATGTTGGATTGAAAACACTTATGCTAATTCTCACTACCTGAGTACTATAATCTGAATTTTGTTTGATCACAGCTCTGTGTGGGTAGGAACAACTATCTTTTTTATGTCATTTCCTGGGAGCATGTGAATAGAATAACAAAAGAGAGATTAACAAGATAAAGCATACTAAATTTTTATTAATATTTTTTTCTGTGGGAGTTAATAGAAAAGAAGTGAAACTCAAAGAAGCAGTTAGATTCAGGGACTTATATACAGTTTTATTGAAGGAACAAACATGGACTTCAAAAGCCTAAACAATATAGAAATGCTAGATGCTGTGACGGATGCCAGCACTTCCAGTTGCTTGGGAGGATGAGGCAGGATGATCACAAGTTTGGAGCCAGCCTGGGCAACTTAGTGAGACCGTGTCTCAAAAGAAAATAAAAAGGGTTGGGAATGTAGTTCAGTGGTAGAGCACTTGCCTAGCATATTGAGGCTTTCGGTTCAAATCCTAGTACAGAGAAGAAAGAAGGAAAGAAAGGAAAGTAGGAAGAGAGGGAAGGAAGGAAGGAAGATAGGTCGCTTTATATATAAATTCATCTTGCTATTAAATCCATGTTCTGTGAAAGTCCTCCTCACTGGTACAGGGATGTGGGGTCGGGTAGAGAGGGGATGCCTTCCTCAGAGAGAAATTTGTTTCCTGATAAGGCAGATAAGGGGCAGCCAGAGAACTCTTCAGCAATTGTTGATTCTCAGTTACCTCTAGCTCTAAATAATCCCTGTGCCAAAGTGGCATATTTGGGGTGACATATTCTGATTCTCTTCTGCTGCAAGAAGCACTGCAGTATTAGGTCAAATGCTCTGCCATGCCCCTTTTCTTCAGTCATCAAACGATTTATATCTATCCTTTGTATTTTATGGATTTCTATATTTCTTACTAAATTAAGGGAATATTAAGAATTACATAGTAGAATGTATTTTCTTATGCATGATTTTTCAATTTCAATATAATTGGTGAAGAATGTATAAAGAAAGCAGTTTACATGAAAGCAAAATAATACAGTGAATTATGTCTATAGCAATGATGATTGTTTGTGGTAAGTGTGAAGAGACCTCTAAGGTTAAAATTTTACATAAAACCTTGGTAATTTGAAATATACTATGTCAGGCAGCTGAATCTTTGTATCTAGAATGAAGAGCTCAGACCCCTCTTGAATTATTTTTTAGTAAAGTTTAAGATGTGGGTTTCTGTAGTTCTTTTCAAAATGCTTTGTCAGTAAATGATTAGTGACCTGGTTAAACACAGTCCAATCCAACACCTAGCCTTAGTTGAAAAGCAATGTTTAAAGAACTGATTTTTAACAGTTACAAAGAGCATATAACCTATATAAATATATTATTCCTCAAAATTCTGTCATCAAGTAAGAGGGCCTCTAAGTAGCTCTAGAAAAACAAATATTTTAAATATAGTTTAGAAAATGATGGTCTTAAAGAATGAAATACTCATATGGGAAAATCAGAAGACACTTAGCCAATCAGTTTCAAGATAAAGCATCTACTTGAATTCCTAAAGAAGGAATGTGCCCTGTGCTCCTCATTCTGAACTGGTTTTGGCAGTGTGGTACTTGTGCATACTTTCCCCTGGAATGTCAGCTATTCTGAATCTAATGGGAAGTTCTATTTTTATTAGGTGCATTTAGTCATCTTCTAATGGAATACTTTTCACTTTGTAAAAAGCAAAACAAAAAAGGACATGAGTTCTATGGAAAAAAAATAGTTTCTTCTTGCTGTTTTAAAGGTTTATATTTTATTCAGGTATTTCACTACCATTTCCAACTAGATAGTGTTTATTCTACTTTTTTTGCAAATAGAGTTGGAATCAGTGGGAAAGGCCTGCATGAAATCAAAGACATCTTCACTGAACTGCCCTGCCTTGTTGAATCATCCTAGGGTTTATGTCTAGCGGGGGATGTGAATTTATCTGAAAACTAAGGAAAGACCAGAAAGTCCAGAAATGGAGTGAGATCATAGTCTCAAAGGAAGAAGCTTTCAGGCAAACTTTTGGCCTTTGGCAGGTGAGGCAGATCCTGTTCAATTTCAAGGGCTGATGAGAAATAATGCTTTGACAAGGCAGTTACCTGAATATATATGTGTTGGCATGGAAAACCCATTTTCCCGATGCACATCTTAGGATCAGTGGGTGGGGTCCTGTAAATTAGACTGAAAGAAGAAGGGAGGGAGGGAGGGAGAGAGAGAGAGAGAGAGAGAGAGAGAGAGAGAGAGAGAGAAAACAAACAAAACACAGAAGTATGTTAACATGTGCATCACATACATCACATACAGGAGTCACCCAAAGGAGTCAGTGAGAACTTGGGCTTATCTAGCATCTTAACAAAAGAAGGATACATTTTTAGGGATGTGTCAAAACAAAGGAAAAGTTTACTGGCAGAAAATTATGGAAAGGTCACTACAAGAGGGGAACCAATAGAAGATGAGGGCTGGTGTTAGTAAGCGGTGTCCTGTAGATTCCTGTGGTGCAAGGTCTAGGTTTTCCTTAGTGATCAAAATATGTTCTCACTAGGTGGGACAACTTGACAAATTTATGTCCTTCTTTTGGGCAAAAAGGGAAGACAGAGACTTCTCAGTATGCACTTTTTTCTCAGTTGCCTTCATCTGAAAATGATTCTTATGAAACAGTGGTATATTTTGGGGTGGTATGTTTTGCCATCCTTCACTGGTGACATGCATTTCAGAATCTGCATGTCAGAGATCTGTACTACGTGTATATTGATTGAGTCCATATAATGAGATATAGATTTATCACAGCACTCTCTAAGCAATAGGGTAAATGTGTAAGAGAATGGCACAGGTTGGACTCATGTAATCTCCATAGGGAACTAATATGGGTAGGTTAGAATAAGGTTTAT